CCTGCGTTCAGTCCTGGGAGCAGTGCTCAAAGGGCGATCACGCCTCCAAAGTACTCCTTATATATGTTGTATGAGTAGGTGGAGTCTCAAATGTCATTGGTCAAGTAATGTAATGCTGGCCAATTACCTTAAAAACTATCAGTTGTGTGCAGATATTGTTTGTTTTTGAAGGTACAATATGTTTGTAGATAAGATAATGAATTGACTCCTTGAGGATGTTGTTAGATGTAGAAACAATGTTTATTTCTCTGTTTAACTGTTCCCTCTCTTTCCAGAGTCATGACCTGATTGGCCAGATTGATTTTTAGCCTTGAACAAAAACATTATTTTACAGAAAGATAAAACTGCCTCTTCACAACAGGCCAGGTGCTGCTCTTTCACCTACAAAAGGAAACATCCCCCCCGGCCTGTTTTGAAGAGGCAGTTTTATCTTTCTGTAAAATAATGTTTTTGTTTAAGGCTAAAAATAAAATGCCTATTTTTTTTCCAAGAAAACCCTCTCCCCTGCACCTCACATTACATCAACCTCAAACTTAAAACTGTTCAATTATAAAGGACACTTGGATGTTTTTAGCTTTCAATCCATGCGACACGGTGATTCTGAATGAGAACATAATTAGACTACACAAATAGGACACGCCTCTTTTAAAATGATTTTCTGTTTTATTACTGTTATGAACATTTAACGGTTGCTTCATCGTCTAAATTATTCTAATGGCTTCCATTTCATGTGACCAAGACTTCACATGAATGCAGCATTGTATTACTACTCTGATAAAACCCTGAAAAAAATCCTCTATAAATGCTTTTTTGGGGAAAAGTTTTACACCATGAGGATCATTTCTTATAATTTCTTAAACATAATTATCACTTAAATGGGTAGGTCAGCAGCACAGAGGTGGAATAACATTGGTGCTGTTTTATTCAAACCATCATTTATTGATGGTTCCTAAATGTCCAAAGTAAAGAATCAGATGTAACTCGTTGTATTTTTGAATTACCCCCAACATTATAAATGAAAAATGTATGGGCTAATTTGCCTGCTTGTAAATATTAAGGTCATTTTGTGCTTCACAAGCCATCTGTCCATCTCCCCTTAAAGAAATGTTTGGTCAGTTTTATGATTAAGATGTACCTTAGTAGCCTAATAGAATATGTATCCACCACAGTAGTTTAAAAAGGACAAGGCCACAGCATACATTTTAAATTCCTCCCAAAAGTGCAAAGGATTACTCAGTAGGTCGCAGACTAAGTAAATAACAACCTTAAATGTTTTTTTGTTTGATCCAGCTTATTCCATAACTTCCCATGCATGTTAGTAGAAAAGATGACAAAGCAGCTTCGGAGCACTGCATGCTGGCTGTAAAACGTTATCAGATGTTGTTCTTGTGTTACAATGCATTGTGCTTTTACAAGAATACATACATTGTAATATGTACTAGCATATTGTAGGAAAAAGTCAAGTAAGTTTTTTTGAATTATGAGTTAAAAGAGTTCTTACCTGGTCTTGATGCTGTCCTGTGGACTTGAAGATGTTATAATGTCAGTCTCTTGGTGCTGCACTGAAAGGGTGGAGTCATGCAGAACTTGTTGAACGGGTGAATAGGTGTGGTAAAAATACTTTTGGAACTCTTTCATTTTAAGGTTTAGGTTTTTTTTATCTTATGACAAAGGTCGTTTTTGAATATGACGTCTAGATATGACTTTTTCATTTCCAGTTATCTTTGCAGAATCATCAACAGTAATTAAAGATTGAATTTCTAATGAACTTTATAAAACCTTTACAAGTCAATACCTGGCAGAAAATGGCAACTGGAATCCATTTGAAATGAAAACACACAATAGTTCCCTGATACAGTGATAGTCAAACCTTTAAAGTCAAGAGCTCTTTCCTTCATTCATCACATTAATATATATTTTTAAATGGTCTCATTTACTGTAATGTTAAAAACTACTATAAACACACATATAAAGCATGTTTTGTTGCATTGACCAAAACAAGTCTTTAAATGTGTTTCTTTGGAAGACAACCTGCACTCTTCTTATCATAAAACGATCTAAACCGTGATGGACCGCTAAACGGTCCATCACAGCGGGTGGAGCTGTGATCCGGAAGAGCTGCGTGTTCTCCGTCAGCAGCAGCTGATCTGATCTCTGATCTCTCTCTCGCGTCCGGTTATACTTCACTCGCGTTTATGTCCAAATCTATCAGATCTAGCTAGTTCTAGTTAATTATATGACTGCCTGCGTGTCAAAGGACCTAAACAATAAGCGTTGCTTGGCAACTTATTAAAAAGATCAGTTCAATGCAACTAATGTCGTCTTAGCGTTATTGCATGATGTTAAAATTGGTTTGCCATGAATTTAGTGATGGATTGTAAACATTTAAGTGTTTCTCAGTTACAATGTTGTTTTAATAAATCAGACACTGATGGGGCAAGGCTCAGGCTGTACTGTACCTCTTTATATAGGCATTTTTTCCCAAACAAATAGTTTTTGCGCTGATCAGGGGGTACTTAGCTGCATTTTTTTTCCAAAGGGGGTAGGCCTACATTATTGAAAAAAGTTTGAGAACCACTGGTTTGGATGACTTGGGTGGGGCATACAATCAAATATTTCTCAGTACATTAACTTCCTCTAGAGCAGGGGTCTCCAACCTTTCTTCATCTGAGAGCTACTTTCAAAAAATGAAAGTGGCCAAGAGCTACTTGCATCACATCGCTTACATTTATTCACATAGCCCTCATCAGTTGAATTAAGCTATACTTTTGTACACGTGTGAAATTGCAATACCTAAAGCTTATCAAAAATCTTAACTTCACATCACCACCTTACAAGCATTTCACTCTTTTGTTAGTGAGATGAATGGCACTGCATGGAGTCCACCATACAGGTGTACTGTATGCTGGAGTGTACCCACTTCGGTTCACTCTAATAGAGTCATTTAAATGTTCATCAGTCAGTATTGTTCTGTATTTAGATTTCATTCATGTCAGAAAAAGCTGCTTCACAAAGGTATGTATAACAGAACCAAATAAAGCAGACATTTTCAGTGCTGCTTGGTGAATGTTCTATAGTTTTCAGGGTCTACAAGGCTCCAGAAATGTTGTGAGTTTTGCTGAGACTTAAGCTGAACATTATTTTGGAGATCTCCACAGGATTGACACTGAACAGTTGTTCAGCCATCTTTTTCTTCTTCTTCTTCGTCTTGACATTAAATTATAAACCATAATAAATCAATTGTATAGGTCTAGCCTCCCTATATCTGTGTGTGAAAATGGTTCCATCCTCAAAAACAAAAAACTAATACTTCAGCAGTCTAGCTGCAGCTTCTAGCAACGGTCTTCTGTTAAAAAAAAAAAGACACTGAATGTCTTGAATGTGGCATCACACACGTGACTTAAGTCTGAACACAGCAGACAACAGGAGTATTTACAACAGCATTATAAAAACAAAAATAGTGCATGTGGGTGCACACTTACATTCTCTGTCTTACTGTTACATAAATCCCATGAATGTATGAGATTAAGTTAGCTTCAACATATCTCAATCAGTGATTAAGTGAATAATAAAGTTTCTATCGGGTCACTATCAGCCTGTCACTCATTATTTTCAGGGAGGGGGCGGGGTTTGGAGGAACGGAGAGGAGACGGTGATCGCGGAAGCTTTCCTCCTGCCTTCACAAACTTTACACAAGTATTTATCAACTGAAAATAGCAAGAGGACATTCATACTCTGCAATCCAAGACTTGATTAAATCCACCAAAAACCTGACATGACGATAACGAGTGTTTTTCAAAAAACACAAATCCCTGCCTGTGTGTCTCTGAGCCGCAGCGACAGGGCCTGATTCAGAGCGGGTCATTCTGCTGTTGGTTCTGGACTGGTGCTGGTGGAGAAAGCAGACTGCTCCGTGTGTGTTGTCGCTGTGCTGCTGTCACGTCTGTTCCTTGAGCTCTGCGTCACCGACCATTTGATATTCGTGTGACAGAAAAAATTCTAAAATAAAAAAACCTTATTGTCCAGCCGCGGCCGAAAAATCAATAAGCAACCTTACTACACTACTATAATCGATAATCGAGCGGCGAGCTACTGAAAAGCTGCCCGCGAGCTACCGGTAGCTCGCGATCGACGTGTTGGAGAGCCCTGCTCTAGAGTCTAGAATAGATCTATTCTCTTCCAACATTTCTTTCACTTTTGTTCTGTCCAAAGTTGGCAGGGAAATGCAGGCGAACAGGCTTCAAATACCAATGACTCGTCAAAAGACTTTTTTGTTGTTGTCCCTCCCCTATCACTAGCAGAAGTTAAATACATTTAGGGCCATGGTACGCTGAGTTTAAACACATTCCTTATTTGAAGTGTTCCTCCACTGGAGGGAGCTCTAGTGAATGATTTTATACTTCTATGTTTATTCCCTGCTGCAGTTTACGACGTGTGTTTTAGATTTTTTACATTCACCATTGATGATATTTAATGGATGTATTGTAAATAATCAGAAGATGCTGCATTCTTAAGATTGATGCTGGACCCACAGGTAGTTAATACATGCAGAACTACATTGTGACTGACTTGACCAACCCCTTAGGTCTTTTGGTTGTTACCTGTTTTCCTTTTTGTCCCTGAAGGTAACACAGATTGTGAGTGTGCCTGATTAAGAGCCCTGTTCCAGAGCCTCTCTCTCTTTGGCCTGACCCCTTTCCTGAGAGCAGCTACCGGTTTTAAGTTTCATTTGGTATTGCATTTGAGTTTTGCATCCAACACCTCACAGTATATGATCCACACACATTCACAGCTACGCAACTGATGTTACTGACTCACACACATTTCTTATGGTAGCTTTATCTTTAGTATTAGTTTGCTTTATTTATTGTTATAAATACTTTGATTTACTCTTTACACTGTATCCTTTCCCGTTTTTGTCATGACAGTACCAGATCACATTTCTTTCCTCTGACTGTTTCCACTATCCAGTAATATTTCTCCCAAAATGATCACAGTGGTCAACATCACTTTTTTTGTTTTATTGTATCATCCTTGATATTTTTTAATCAGCTGTTTAAAAGCAACACTTTACTTATATAATATATATATATATAAAACTGATGTTATTAATCAAATAAAAGCAATCATTAAATCAACAATACCATACTAAATCTCAATATCAGCAGTAGTACTCACATTATAAACAAATTCTCCTTGATTTAGGTAAAATAATAACATTTACATGTTCATATGGCTGAATCATTCACAACCCCATTAAGCTTTTAAAGAAGGTTTTTGACACCAAGATCCTATAATACATACAGCACATGCGTTATGTAGTTTAATTTTCATAAAGTAGTTTTACAGCACATCACCCAAGTTTATAGTTGATTTTTCGAAGCCAGAAGAACATTTTAAAGTAAGACCCTTCCCCCTCGAAACAAGTTAATGATCAGTTGATCCCCATTTAAAATGGCAAATTAAGCCCCAGGATGGTGATGCAAAAGCAAAGCAGGAAAGAGGGCACCGCTCTGGAGGACAAAGACACAACAGGGGCTGCTGTCGGAACCTTTGGGCTTTGGGTGGTTGCTGTGACGACCACGGTTCTTGTGATGCTGTAGAAACAGGTGGCCACATTACCCACTTCATCCACAACCACTAGCTCCACATCCGGCGAACAGCAAGAAGCATCGTATGAAACCATCGTTATGTTTCCAGCAGCCAGGCTGGTGTTCAAAGTCCCGTTGCCCTGTCTGAGACTAACGCGGTCAACGCCGGACCCTCCTTCCCCATCAGTCACCTGGACAGAGAGCTCCCACATCGACAAGCTGCAGGAATCGGAGCAGTTGGCCTGCAGGCTGACATTCTGACACACCGGCGGAGCGAAATCAGTCACCTGTGAGGAGAAAAAGTGGATAAAGACAGATGATTTATTTCAACAAATAAACCCAATAGTGAAATGATATTTTCATACGTGCTGTATAAATCCTGCAAAAGTATAAACATGCTCAATTCAGGACTAATAATATGAGGTTTTGGTGTCACAACTATACAATATATAAATAGAAATGCTGCTGCTGTGTTACAGCCAGCCCTCCGCTGCAATGATTGTGAAGATATTCACAGATTAGTAAGGAAGGAAAAGGAAGAACTGACCAATCAGAGCAGACTGAGCTTTTTCAGGAGGGTTAAAGAGACAGAGATTAAACATGAGATGTTCTTTTAAAATGTAGCTATTAAACATCTTCAAGGAGAGAAAAAAATACATGTATGACCCTGGAAATAGCATGATAATTTAGTGCCTTTGCATTTATTGTAATGTGATGTGTTACCGGTGTGAGGACGGTGAAACGCAGCACAACATAATTGGCGCCGGCGCCTCCTGGAGCCTCGGCCTCAATGGTCAGAGTGACGTCGGTGCCAGAGGGGGTGTTGGAGGGGGCCGTGATGTTCACTGCCCCGTTAGCAGTGCTTCCAGTTTCCACGATTAAACTGGACGAGAAAGATGAATCGAAATTTTGGTCGTTCGTAGCTTGGATGCTGAAGGTTCCTCCTGCTCCGCTTGTCGCCACAGAGAAGGAAACAGAGAGCGGCGTTCCTGGTTCCAAGACACCAGCTGTATCAGGCTAAAAACAGAAGTAAAACAGTCAGTAGCAGAAGTAGCCTATGTATTTAAAAAAATGAAGCAATAAAAGGCATAGGTTTTTCGTTGGATGCATTGAACTTACAGATCTAACGGTGACAGTAGAGGCTCTGATGCTGGTGGTGGACTGCCTCTGGAAGCCCACTAAAATCGCTCTGGAGGAACCATTGTTGTTCTGCCCCTTGACGAGCACCACAAACTCCTCTGCTGGTATCCTATCGAACCGAGCCAAGTAGTTTCCTCCACCCTTAGCCTCCACGCTGCCAATAACCTGCCTTAACCCGGACGATTCGACCAATATGACTTCTGTCACCACGGCGGTGTCGCTCCCTGTTACTGTCACCAGGAGGCTACCATTGACACCTTCATAACAAGAAGAAAATCCATTGAGATGTATAACGTTAGGGGAAGGGATTACTTTGGCATATCACAAAACTGTGTTTCCTTTACCAGCTCTTGGACGATTGTCTATAATCTCAAGACCTCCAAGTGGACCCTGCGATACCTCCAAAAAGTCAAACAGGAAGTCAATGGCACTCACACCTGCAAATGAATAGTTACAAAATAAAAGAGAATCAATCAAAGACGCCTGTGACGAAGGTAACTTCGTCACTGTGGACTGACGGCTTCGGGGCCTTGTAACTCAGCACTTTAGTGAACAGTTTGCACTTTATTAGCGTGATTGCACAGTACCGTTTGGCATTGCATATTTGCACATTTTATATAATTTATACTAATTATTGAGATAGTATTTATTAACTGATTAAACCGTATTAATTGAAATGTCGTCTGGCAGATGCTGGTCGGGTCCTCGGCCCCGCCTTGAAAACATAGGGGAGTTACCGAGAGCGCCGAAAGTGTTTGCTGGTGTAGAATGACAGCGGTTGAGAGTAATTAGGGTGCAAATAATATGTGAGGGTGTGGAAATCATAGCGTTAAGTGGCATTAATTGTACCAGTGCTGACTGTGTTTAGTTGGGTTTGTATGTGTGTTATTCTGTTCAGTTATATGTTTGTGTTTGGAAAGTGTTCCCCCTCCCGTTTTGTCTGTTGCTCCTGATTATGTTCACCTGGTGCCCTGTGTTGTCTCCTCCCCCCTCACCTGTGTCTTGTTGGCTTGATTGCACATGTGGTTATTTAGGCTCTGTGTTTCCTGTTTGGTGTGGGAGATCTTTGTGGCTGGTGACTGTGCTCACAGAAACAGCAGATTGAGGCTGTGTGTCATGTGTTCATGATTTTTAATAAAGGCCCACACCGGGTTATATTTGGGATTCCTGCCTCTGCCTCCTTACTTGGTCGGGCCGCTCAACGGTCAGCTTCACAACGCCACAAGGATAGTTATACCTAAAAAGATGAGTATTTATTCACAATTCAACCACAGTGAAAGAGTTCTTATCTACAACCTTCAGAATGTATGGATTTGTTGACACAAACTTTATTTCCCAAAGTCCAGTTTCAGCTTCTAGCTGCAGAGTCTGGAAGTTTCCCACTGACTGGGAGGCAGTGATCAACGGTCCTCTGTTGTTTGTGCTTTCCTGAGACACACCTAAAGGAAAAATTCATTACGAGAAATGAAGGACATGTGTTAAAAAGCAAAAGAAAAGTGAACCAAGCCTTTCCATTTTTCAAAAGTAGTGTGCATCATTGTCTACTGCAGTTCCATATTTATTACTACCACCAGATTGTGCTGAACCCCATTATCATTGACTTGTTACCTCGTCCGAAAAGGGTCACGGTACCAACTTTTTTTAAAAGTGGCTCACGTTTACGCATTGGGTCTGAAAACTAAATCCTGGAGAAGTTTTTCATATCTTCTGAATATAAGATATAATACAATTGTATTTTTCCAGAGTGAAACTGCTCTACAGCGATTGCAAAACGTACTTGGACGAGTGCAAATCTGAAAATCGAATCTACCAAAAGACGTGAGGTAGTCTGATGAAGAGATATGCAAAGGGTTGGCTAGTTGTTGGGACTTCTGTGCTAAGCACGGATTGGCCATTACAAATATCGTTTAGTTTCGGAATGCACCTATTGAAAAATTCTCTGGCAATACCAATTTTGAGATGAACAATTTGTCCAATACCAATATGGATGCTGAAGCTTCTTTGCTTTGTTGTTGTTGATGAAAGCAAAAAGGAAAGATTCATCATGCCGTGTAAACTAGTTATATCACTTGGCAGCATAACCTTAGGTCAAAGAACAATGATCGACTCGATGTTATCATCAGATCTGCGGTCTGGCTGGTTGGATCAGAGAGAGGTGGTTTATCAAGTTGAGGAGGGGTTCGGTTGGCACAGATAGTATGGTGCGTCTGTAGTTCTTGGAATTCTTTTCTATTATTTGTTTTTGCAATTAAAAATCCTGGCAGCAAACAGAGTTTTTGTTGTTTTGACGTGACCATTTGATAGTTTCATTTTCAGTTCTGATAACAGGTTGTGTGAGAAACCTACGTTTGCAGTGCATGTCCCTGTCAGCCCAGTTTTGTACATCCGGACAAAATGAACAATGTTCTCTTTCAATCAAATTCGAGATGAGAGAGCAGTGGCAACTTCAAGACCTCTTTAAATAGATTGAGATAGATTAAAACAGGTAAAGATCATTGTCTACTGCAGTTCCATATTTATTACTACCACCAGATTGTGCCGAAGTCAGGAAATTACGTTTTGTATGCCAAGACACAGATTCTGCTTAACACCATGTTTTGTGCAACTTTAAAATAATTTGCTTATGATCTGTAACAGTATCACCTGAGGGATTTGTGAGAGTAAAGGTGGTGGAGGTCCCGGTGATGTAAACTGTGACGTTTCGTACTGACTCATCAACTGAGAAGGTGAAATTGTCTGCCTTCCCTGGATTTCTGTTTGCTTGTAGAAGAGTCACCTAGAAAGGGAAAGGAAACTGAAGACACAACTGAATCTTTATAGACTAGAAAGCAGTGTTTGTGACGGCGAGTGAGAGTGTTGGTACCAGAGAGGAGGTGGAGGACTGTGTGATGATGCTGGTGGCCGCAGGGAGCTCAGCCTTGGTCACTTCTATAGCCAGACCCCCTGACACCTGAGCCAGGTCTCTGTACAGCGCGGCGTCTGAGACCCTGCTGTCACCGACGGGATCGCAGTACTTTAGTTGTCATGAAGTTCACCTAAACAGAGACAGAAATATCAAGGAAAGTTGGAGGTGTAAAGCCAACTGGGAGGAGCTTAGAGTTCAAGGAAACCAAATCGCAAAAACCTCATAGGTTTATTATTGCGATGCATTTTATTTCAGCAGGCCTATCTTATAATTTCGCCCACAATGTTACAGCCTTATTTGGACCAAATAATTCATTTCTATATGTAAAATGTAATACATTTAATCCACTGTAGAAGTATTTGAAAGTTGTGATATTGTGTACTTATCATATCCATACCTGCATAGTATAACCGGCATTAATATCAAACATTACCTACGGCTAATCCTGTTAACATGCTGACTCTAGCATTTAACCTAATGCACTGTTGAGCCTAACTACGACCTTACTTGTATCTAAACTTTTATGTTTTTCTAGTGTATGTGTCTCTTTTTAAATATTTTTTCTTTTTATCTACCAACATGTTTTGGGTTGGTCAGGGGTTACATTATTGAAACGTTTGAAAACCACTGTTCTCAAGCGTTTCTTTGCCCTCAATAGTAGATATACTTACCACAGACTTGGTGCGCTCTATGAGTGCGATCACTGTGCTTTTCAGGTGTGTGTCTTTAGCAGGAGCATCCGTGAAGAGGAAGATCTCAGACTCAGGAGGAGCCCCAGTTAAAGCCAGCTGTAGGAGCATACAGAAGTTTTCTTAAAATGTTTTATCTTATTATGAAAAGTTGACCATATATGAAGTAGTCTCATAAACATCTCAGCACCTGAAGCCCTGAAAGACTCATTTCTGGACTATCTCCTCCTCCTTCTGCTCTTAGTGAATTAATCGCATTCTTGAAGACATTTGGGTCTGTAGTCTTCAGCAGTGGCCCAAAATCTGGGGTTCAGGTGAAAAAAGGATTAATACATGATTTTAATATTCCTCTTCTGCTTGTTTGTTGGATACTTTCTGGTTTACAGATATATGTTCTTTCTTTATTATTGACATATTATGTGAACAACACTCCAACATTAAAGTATGTCCAGTACATGAGCCACCAGCTCAACCAGGTGAGCTATGCCGCAGTCCCACACGTTATAATTTAATGGTACAAATAACCCTTTTCTCAAAACAAACTACTAGACAAGATTGAAAAGTCTGGGGCATAACAATACCTGGATCGTTGAAAGGAACAAGAATGTAGAGTGAGGGCTCATCTTTTGTTCCCACTTTACTGTTGATTATAGAGGAAGTGACGGCCCGCACTGCATCGATGTCATCGCTCATGCTTCCTGTCGTGTCGATCACAAAACAAAGAGCTTTACTGGATCCTTTGTTGATTCCCATCAACCTGAGGGAAGAAGGAACAAAGAGATAAGAGAAAATGCCATTTGCAGTTTTACACTAACTGCAACATGCAGAATGGGTTTCTTACTGGAGGAAGGTTTTGTCCCCAGCAGCCCATCGAATGTCCTCCAGTAGCTCACTGGTGGCAGCTACAGCCATATTTGCTGCTGTCATGTGGAGGTGTCCATGGTCGGAGCCAACTTTGTCTTTGTTAATCCCACCTTTAGGTTCAGTCTTGCGTGTTTTATCCCAATAACCTCCATGGCTGCACTTTCCTGTTCAGTAATAGAAACAGATAAGAGAACACTTCTTCTATCTTCTTTGGAAAATAACCAGGATGGAGGCAGGTGTTACATCCTTTACCTTCTGGTTTGGAAGAACTAATTAAAGGCAAGTTTAAAGCAAAATATCCCGAAATAAGTATTTTTTCCTGTAGGATATCTTCCAAAATGTTGTTCCTGCAGTCCTTGCCGTCACAGTTGCGACAGGTTGCTCTGTCTTTGGCTTTGAGAAAGAACAATCTGTCAGTTTTCTTTTTTCTTGTCACTTATCTGTTTCTTTTCTTGTGGAGACAAACGCTGACATGATATTTTTTACCTGCTATGTTTCCGATGCTGGTCCCTTCCCTGAACAGGTTAGAGTTTGGGAGTTTGTTTCCCATTTCCACCCAGTTACTATGACTGTAGAAATCCTATTATTTAAAAAGGAAAGAAGTTAAATATTGCATCTATTATCTAAAGTCTATATCTTTAAATACCAAGATGATTTTTTTCAGAAGTCTTCATTAATGTACTTTAAAGATGTCCCCTTTAAAACGTTGCAGGTTTAAATAGGTGTCAGTTTATATGATTTTAAAAGGAAATTAGCTGATGGAAATTGATTAAATTGATTGAAAATGTCAAAAACTGTAATGGGAAACAAACAAATAAAGAAATGACCTGTAAAGTGTGTAAGATTCTCCCCAGTTTCTCTCTTGCTGCCTCAAAGTTTTCACGCTTGTTGCTGGCCTTCACAACGGACAATCCTTCTGTGATGAGTCTCCTCCCCTCCAAGAACTGTTCATCGTCAAAGTGATGAGGTGCTGAATAGAAATAACGTTCATCTGTTTGTCGATTCTTTTTTTGGATTAATTTGATAGCTTTGCTGAAGCTCTTGGATGATTTTGACGCTTCACAGGCAACAACAGACTCGGCAGTCAAAGGCTGTGGACAAACACACACAATTAATAAGGCATAATGATAATGAACAATACAGGCAATGGTCAACATTCAAATTAAAATGTATTTAGGTAGAATTTATTCCTTACAGGGAAAGTGAAGTCTTTGCCCTCCGCCCGGGCCAGAGCGCGACACGCCTGCACGGTGGCATTGAGGATGGCTCTCTGAGTGATGTCCTCATGAGTTTCTGAAGAGCTGGACCAAAGGCCTACACCGAAAAAGTATATATCAAACCCGAAAGCTCCAGTCTGCAGAAGCAGGAACCACAAAGCTGCCAATCCAAACATCACTACGCAAAAAAAAAGCACATGTATTGTATTGTTTATTATATAGATAAACACAAAAAACATGTTAAATCAGAAAATAAACCAAATACATAATTTGTTCCTGTTTTTTAAACACAACCAAACAGGAGTTCCCTGCAGCACTAAAAGAATAGCAGCTAACACATCATTATTTCACTTTCAACAAAAACTTCACATAAAATGGATTCAACATTTGTTTTTTTCTAGTCAATTGACACAAAAGTGTGGTCCTTATTTAACAAACATGTATGATGTTACTGTACCTTAGGTCTTGAGGTCCTCTTGTAAACTAGCAGTTGTGAAACTTAATTTATAATGGTTGTTATCCGGGGAGGAGTCCATCACTGCATGACTGGTCTGACCTGTTGCTTCAGAAACATAACACCACTGTTATGTTTTGATTAAGTAGAAGTTTTCCACAGAGAATTGAGTTGTGGCACTGGGTGTACCCGGCAGCAGGGTATGTGCTGCCGTGGAATGACTGATAGAGGATGATACTGCCTTTCCTCTGACCTCATCACTTAACAGTTGAAAACACTTTAAATTACTTTTTAAATGCTATTTTTCAAATGCTAAGAAAAGTAGCTTGAGTCTCTGCCTTTTTTCTATTCATTTTTGCAGTGGCATCATTTTAAATGCAACTCACAAACAGTTTAACAAAGAACAACTTGTCATATGGCGTGCTGAACCCCATTATCATTGACTTGTTACAAGGATGGGGACATCTCCTCATGCGAAGAGGGTCGCGGTACCAACTTTTTTTTAAAGTGGCTCACGTTTACGCATTGGGTCTGAAAACTAAATCCTGGAGAAGTTTTTCATATCTTCTTCTTATAAGATATAATACAATTGTATTTTTCCAGAGTGAAACTGCTGTACAGCGATTGCAAAACGTACTTGGAAGAGAGCAAATCTGAAAATCGAATCTACCAAAAGACGTGAGGTAGTCTGATGAAGAGATATGTAAAGGGTTGGCTAGTTAACCTTAGGTCAAAGAACAATGATCGACTCAATGTTGTTATCATCAGATCTGCGGTCTGGCTGGTTGGAGAGGTGGTTTATCAAGTTGAGGAGGGGTTCGGTTGGCACAGATAGTATGGTGCGTCTGTAGTTCTTGGAATTATTTTCTATTATTATTTGTTTTTGCAATTAAAAATCCTGGCAGCAAACAGAGTTTTTGTTGTTTTGATGTGACCATTTGATAGTTTCATTTTCAGTTCTGATAACAGGTTGTGTGAGAAACCTACGTTTGCAGTACATGTCCCTGTCAGCCCAGTTTTGTACATCTAAAATGAAACAATGTTCTCTTTCAATCAAATTCAAAATGAGATGAGAGTGCAGTGGCAACTTCAAGACCTCTTTAAATAGATTGAGATAGATTAAAACAGTCTAAAGATAAAATAACAAGGACTGTTGTATCAACAATCCAAAACATAATCACAGTTGAACTGGGGTAATGATGCCAAAGAATTCAGATAAGGCAAGGTCAAATAAATCCTGTTAGCATTAATGGAACAGATTTATGTGGCGTGTGTTTGCTCAGTCTGAACTTGTGCTTTCAGTAAATGATTTATGGAGGGAGGTGGAGCAGCAGCAGGAGTTGAGAGGCTACAATTTACATTACCCCAGTTCTCTTTTTTGTGTTTGCAAAAACTGTAGAAAGAAGACAACCTTTCTGAACTTCAGCCAGCCTACAGGGCATGAATGTCCCACTGATTTGTGGCGCAACAAGTCAGGATTGTAAATATGGGGGTCAGATGTTACTGAGGAGATCACAGTAACACTCAACGAAGAAAACACAGGACTTGTATGATAAACTGCGATCTCTCTATTTACCAATGGCATCATTCGTATGGGATTATTTGTTCTGTTTGTTTCCTTCACTGCTGCTCCTGCTGCTGTCTCTGGGTCTCCGCTGGCCCAGGGTATGTTGTTGGACGAGGCTGGCTGTCTCTGCTGCAGGGTGGAGACTCTGGGTCCTTATTTGCCTGATCCTGGAGCTGCCACTAGACAGGAACATAAGAACAGGGACTGAGGATATTCTGTCAGGCTCCGGTCCGGCCTCAGACGCTCCGCAGCTCATCTGCAAACCCTCTGCTCTCGCCACATATCTGCTGCGGCACTGTGGCTCTCTGGCCAGGCCAAGACTAGCCTCCTGGCCCAGAGGAGACCCCCACCTGCAGACCCTGTCCAGCCTGCTGTTGGGACAACATGGAGACACATTACAGTTCATTAGAGATAATCTGTTACTGAGGGACGGGGGTATCGTTGCTCTGGACTGGGCTGTGGGGACAAGACTGGCTGAGTTTGGAGGGAGGAGGAGGTGGGAGGGGAGGAAGGAGCCGGGGTCCGGGGGGAACGCGCTAGGCTGCTTCACCACAACGCCTCCTGTCCTCCTCCTCATCCCTGAGTCCTGGGGAGGGATGACCCCCCACCTGAAGGTGCTGTGCCACCAGGCCGTGCGTCAGGGCTTCTACGTGGTGGTGTTTCACGCTCGAGGCACCGCGGGCTGTCCGCTGACCTCAGCACGGCTCACTGAGTTTGGAGACCCAGCTGATCTTGAGCAGGTACAGAAAGAAGTACAGGGTTTTTTTTAAATCAAGTTTTGGGTCATTATGTTTTTCGATAATTATGTTCATAAGACTTTTGGGATGAAACGATTTGTTAGATAGATGGATCGATATAAAAAAAGTCAACAATAATAATCGAATTCATATTATTTTAGTTGCAGGCCTATTTTCAATCCAATTGACAACGCACACACTACAGTGTTAAAAAATGGTCATGCTTCTCTGCTAATTATCAGTAAACATAAATATTACAGCTGGGCTGGAAGTTTTGTTATTCGGTCATAAACCAGTGTTAAAACTGAAATGCTGTTGCCAACATGATTATTAGGATTCGTCTTCTGGGAATCATTCATGTCCATACATTTGTTTTAATTGCAATCCATCAAATTGCCACACAGTTGCTCTTAGCATGGCTAAAATTAACATTGTGTTCATCCAATTGTTTTACAGTATTTTACCCTTCAGTAACGACTTCCTGGATATCTTCTTCTTTCAGGTGGTGGCCTATGTCCACAGCCGCCACCCGTCCTCTGTGATGGTTGCAGTGAGTGAGGGATCCGGCTCAGGGACTCTTCTCTCCTACCTGGGGGAGAGTGGGTCCAGTTCCTGTCTGAAGGCGGCTGCAGCCATCTCTCCTGTACTCAGGGGACAGCTGTGGTTCGAAACAGCCATGCCTCCTGTTTATCGCTGGGGGGCGTTGATTCACCGGAAACTGCAGCTCAGTAGGTGAGAGAAAAAAAATTAACAGATGTATTAAAGGTCACCTATTATGCAAAATCCACTTTTTCATGTCTTTTACACATAAACATGTGTCCCCTCTGTTTAAAGACATTCTGAAAGTTTCAGGAAAAAAGATTTGCTCACTTTTTGTCCTGATCCATTTATATAAAAACCTGTCTGAAAATGAGCTGATCAGATTTTGGCCACTTTATGTCATAACGATTTTTTGGCTTGTGTAACCATTAGCCAATCACCAACCAAGGTAACCCCCCCCACCCCTTATCACCTGAATCTCCTCCTAGAGCACCATTGTGTTCTTTGTAACCAAATATCTCTCAGAGGGGCGTGGGGAGGGGCTCCTTATTTTCATCTAAAGTAACAGACAGAGAATCAGCACTTTGGAAACAGGGCTGAAACAGAGGGGATTATGGGATGCTGCAATGATCTGTTTGGTATTTGGAGCCAAACACTTCAGAGGCATGTTTTGTATATATCTGAGACCTATAATATATTGATGAAAAACAGTATAATAGGCGACCTTTAATAGCAGTTTAAATGTAATATGGACACTATCATTTTTCCCCTTTACATGGCGTCATGGTCGTAAGATATGAGAGTTCCTTAAGAGGAGTCCTGGATGTGGATCGGGCCCTCAGCTGTTCCTCCCTCAGAGACTTTGAGGAAACTCTGTCCTGCTCTAGACCTCCAAAAACCTCTCTGAATTCGGGACCTGATTCTCCGAGGGTCCTGGCCCCCTCAGTGGCCTGGGCCCTGGGCGAGAGGGCCTACCCAGCCAAGGACTGGGACAACTACTGGGAGAGAAACGAACCTCTGAGGGATGCAGATGAGGTGGGGGTCCCTGTGCTCTGTATCTGCAGCCAGGACGATCCTCTCCTCCCACCGGCCTCCACTTTGCCCCTTCCCCTTTTCCAGAGCAATCCATATTTCCTTTTAGTGCTGACAGACAGAGGCGGTCACTGTGGGTTCACTCTGGAGGGCCCAGAGGAGACAGAGGGGGGGAGGACTGGGAATGAGGAGGAGGAGGGAGGTAACTGGAGTCATATTGCAGTTCTGGAGTACTTTAGAGTAGTCGCTGATTTCCTGAAAGGGGAGGAGAAGGATGGGGAATATATTCAGGCTGGGCCGAGGAGCAGGACCAGCAACATGGCCCCCCCCCGCAGGAGGAGAGCCAACGTGATGAGGAGACAGAGACTACAGCCGACTGAAGAGAGGAGTGGGGATGAAGAGGAAGGAAACTTCACCTGGAAGAGGTCTTACACCCGCTGAGGAGGAAGAGAAAGGGAAGGAGGGGATCTGCAGAGAGACCCTTGGGTTTTATCCTTGTTATTCTGAAGTTATTTCTTAAGCTGCAGTTTTATGATGATACAAGATTTAAAAACAAATGAAAAAGTAAATCATCCAAAATACAATAAGGACAGCAGATTAACATTACATTACCATTGTATAACATATAATGACTGAATGAAAAAAATGCAATATATTGAAGCTACGTTTTTCAAAAGCTTTAAATACTTCCCTCACACAAAACAACCATGGCACAAATAAATATTAAAATTACTTTATTACAGATGATTCTTTATCCAGTAGCCCTCTTCAAACAAAAAAAGAAGTAATTACAAACAAAATATTACATTTATCCCCTAAACTTCTTTGTTTCTGAATTTATTTTATACATTTGAAATCACTTTGTCATCTGTAAGGAATAGCTCTTCACTTCTGCGACATTCAGCTTTTTGCACAATCTATACAATTTAATACAGTTTAATACAGGTCTCTGGACTACGGAGAATAAAACAGCAAGATCCACCAAATGACAGGAGAGATAAAGGGAATACTGATACAGACTGTACAGAGACGTAGCCCCGCCTCCCGCCTACTTTCAGCCAATGGCAGCCGTCCCTCTGCCACACTGAGGGGATCACAGTAGACACTTTAATCTGGACAATCACTTGTGCAATCAGTGCAACTGATCCAGTTCAGAGGGCCGAGGTCTAAAACTAGACTCTGCCCGGCTGCCTCCAAAACACCTGGGAGCTCCAGTAAAACATAAGAGAAG